TACACTTTAACCAAATGTCTGTGAAGTGTTTTCCCGTGCCTCATCTCATTTGATCCTCACAGAAGTCCTGATGTAGGTAGATGGGAGACTCAATCTTAGTTTCTTTGCATTAGCCAGAAAACAGAGATTTAGAAAAAAAAGAAACTTGACCCGACTGAAAAGAAGAAATGGTGGACCTTGAAAATGACTTCAGGTTTTCTCACTGTGCAGAATATAGTCAATCACTGCTGCAGTTAAATATTTCACACTTTGTTCTCCCTGCGTGATCTACAATAATAATCTGCTTTGTGTTGATATTTACTACTGTGTTGCTAACAATTACCTGAAAGAGAAGTTGGGGTGCTTCACTGGGCTGGAAAAAGTTTAGCTAAGTCAGAAAACTGGTCTATTTAAGCAAGTTTATTCTCTCTATATAAAAGGCTAAGTTGACTTTCACATGTGCGATACATATAAAGCTCTCGCTGGTGCCAATCGCAAGTGTGTGTTTCAATCTGTCATTGTTGATCGTGAATTTGGTTGACACTTCTATTATAGAGGAAGGGCGAATAGCGATATTAAAGTATTTCTTCTAATTAATTTCCTTTCAATGTGCATGAATCCATGCACCGGGTCACTAATTCTTACATAAAGATCTGCTGTCCTGAGTGAAGTCTCTAGGATTATTTATTTGTAGGTAAGTTTTAGAATGAGAGCAGGATTAGAAATCAGACTGCCTAACCAAAATCCTGTGGCTATAAATCCAAAGGAATTTGAGTAAATGTATTTATCCAATCATCAAATTATAGAAAATTAAAGCAAGAAACTTTTAAGCCTGAATATGAACATTGGGAGGATCAAAGGACCAGTTGTGGATTGGGCACTAAACATAAAACCGTTCAATACCCGCAGCCTTCTTGTTGCCTCCATTTGTAGATGTAAATGCTAAATCACTGCTCAGAAACCTGAGGGATTACACATTTTACAACAGAACACAGACTGCAAGTCAAGATATAATGCCAAAGGTCAGTTAATTGCATGCTTAAATTTTTTGTGTCACTCACCACTAACACTGCAGACAGAATATTAAAATCGTTGCAACACTAACTGTGTCAGGGTTCCCAGGACCACTTCCAGTTCAGTGATTCACTGGGAAGACTCAGAGGACCAGCATTTGGTTGTATTCATGGCTGTTACAGCAAAAGGACACAAAGCAACCTCAGCAAAGGCAAAGGCACATGGAGCAAAGTCCGGGGAGACCAGCAGTGAGCTTCCAAGGGCCTTTTCCCAGCGGAATCTCAGAGGTCAGACTTAATTCCCCAGCAGCTGTGACAACACCTGTGCAATGCTATCTGCCAGGGATGCTCATTAGTGACTCAGTGCCTGGGGTTTTTACTGGGCTGGCCACATAGGCACCTGCCAGGCATTTACCCCAATTCCTCCCAGAAGGCACGCAGATATTCAACATAAACATTACTGTCTGCGAAAACAGTTCAGGCCCAGAGACATTATGGTGGAAACCCTACTCCAATCTAAATTCCCAGAGGCTAGCCAAGGGCCAACCTTACAAGCAGGCCCGTCTAACTAAGGACAGCTGTCTCAGGCCCGCTGTGATACCTCATTTTGTCCTGTTTCAATTCTCTATATCATCTAGGACCAAACTACAGGAGGAAAGGACTTTCTCCAGCAGGTCACCTCGGTACCTCATGAGCCTGAGAAGCATTTTTATCCTGTGTTTTCAGAACTTAAAATGGAGCATTTTTAACATGAACAAGCATTATTTTAAATTACATAATAGAAGATTTAAGATGGCCTTTAGGAGTCCACTTGTACAATAAAAACAGCCAAATTCTATGCATTTTCTTCTTTAAAAAAAGAAGCACCACTGAAAACTTGAACAAATGATATTCCTATATTGAAACTCCTGAGACACCATTTAACCTGCCAGACTGGCAAAGATCCAGACCCTGGACTGTTCCTCTCACACATTCCTAGCAGTGCTGAGAAGAAGAAAAACCCCCTCTGGGAGGCAATTTGATAATGTCTATCAAAAGTATACACAAACCTTATGACTTGTGATTCTACTTTGAAAATTTACACAGATATCATTGCATACATGCCGAATAACCTATGAGCAAAGTTATTTACTGCAGCATTGTTTAAGAGCAAAGGATTGGCCACAACCCAAATGCCTATCAATAGGTCACTATTTAAATTGTGGTACATCCATACAATGGACTACTCTGTAACTGGAGAAAAACAAAAAAAGAATGAGGAAGCTCTCTTAGTACTAACGTGATGAATGCTCCTACAGACACTAGAAGACATATATTGCAGAGAGGTATAGTTTGTTATCTTTTACTTTATGAAGGGAGCCAAGATGAATTCACAGTCACATTTGCTTGTCTGTGCATGGAGAAACAGGCAGGATGCATTAGACACTGGCAATGGAAGCTGGGGGTGGAGGGTGGGAGGGGTGATAGAGACAGAATTTGGGCAGAATCTGCAAACCTGAAAAAAATGTATTGAAATAGTATACTTGAGAAGTAATTCCTCTTTCTTTCCTAAGCCCAACCTGGCATCTTTTTATTTGTTGTTTTAATAGGCTTCTATATTTTTGCAATGATTAATCTAGAGCAGTGGTTCTCAACCTTCCTAATGCCGCACCCTTTAATACAGTTCCTCATGTTGTGGTGACCCCAACTATAAAATTATCTTCGTTGCTACTTTATAACTGTAATTTTGCTACTGTTACGAATCATAATGTAAATATCTGATATGCAGGATGTATTTTCATTGTTACAAACTAAACATAACTAAAGCATAGTGATTAATCACAAAAACAGTATGTAATTATATATGTGTTTTCCGGTGGTCTTAGGCGACCCCTGTGAAAGGGTCGTTCCACCCCCAAAGGGGTCGCGACCCACAGGTTGAGAACCTCTGATCTAGAACCTAAGGTTGCATTTATCTTGTTTTCCAAACCAGGTTCTAATAATGTTTTCATCTTGGGTCTGGCTGTCATTTTGAAGGGGGTTCCCCAAGACACCTGGGAGTGAGTCAAGTTCTCTGCACCTCCCTTCTCTCATGTGTTTGCTGAGGACATTCGGAAGCTTCTTTAAAGCTCCACGAAAGCCGGGAGTTTGCTTTGTTCACTGCCTTGTTCTCAACACTAAAAAGTGCCCAGAGATCGTTCAGTAGGTACCTGTAGGATAAATGAATTCTTTTCTTTGCCCAGCTGCAATGGGACAGACACCACCAGACAAAGGGAGAGACATCATTGGGGTCAAACATTTAGAAATGGTTGTCATTCCTAGTATCTGCCTGATAGAGGGATTCAAATGCCAGCAACATTTCTAGAATTATTTTGAATTTTACCGAAGACAAATAAGTCTATAGAATGCTGTGCTGAACAGAAACTCTTAAATGTTCATAAAGATTTCTTTTTGATTAACTTGGAATTATAAGGCCCTGGAGCGCATTTAGGACTGGTCTTTTTAGGCAAACACCACACTAATTAGTAATGATGAAAAAGAATGGTTATCCTAAGACTCAAATGAGCCCCAGTTATAAGGGGCTTACATATGTAGAGAGAAAATATTTTGCAATAAAAATGCAACTGATATTCTTATTTTCAAGAATAAAATTATCATTGAAATGAAATCCAAATTGGTATAGACAGTGAATTGACTTGCAAATGTCAATCACGAAAGAGGAAACCTCCTTCCTCCTTAATGGACATAGAATGGATGTAATTACCACTCCGTTTTAACCTTGGTTTAAATAACTATAAAGCAGAATGATTTTGCTAGTAATAATTGCAGTAAAGTTGCTGAATAGGTGCAGAGCTGACTGATGCTTCTTTGAAGATCTTTAGTACCACAAACTTTTTTTAAAAAACTAAATTTTTACTGATTTCAGAGAGGAAGGGAGAGGGAGAGAGAGATAGAAACATCAGTGATGACTATCACTGATCGGCTGCCTCCTGCACACCCGCTACTGGGAATCAAGCCTGAGACTGGGGTATATGCCCTGACCAGGAATCAAACCATGACCTCCCTGGTTCATAGGTTGATGCTTAACCACTGAACCACATGGCCAAGCATGACCAACTTTTCTTAATGCACAGCTGAGGCAGTTACTGAGTCAAGGGGTCTCTCTGAGGGAATGTTACTTAAGAAGATAATAATGGGGGGGGGCGCCGGGGGGGAGGGGCGAGCGGAGGAGGTATCCATGGAAGAACAGCACTCCAGGCTAAGGAGGAGCTGGTTCAAAGGCCCTGAGCAAGAATGAGCCAGGTATGTGTAAAAGAACCTCTTGGCAGTAATGGGAAGAGGTCAGAACATTTTGGTGTTACCTCTATTTCTCTTGCTGGCATTTGGGACAACAATTCAATGATAAAGGAAGCAGCCATGCACCCGATTTCAAGCACTCAAGGATGCTTGAAATCTAAGCCTCTCCTGAGAATAAAATAGACATTCTCATTGCTAAGGCATTTATGAGAAAAATGTCTTCACTGGAAAACAGAAGCTAGCAGAGAAGTTGCAGGACAATTGGGAGGCAGCCAACCTTCCACTGATGCAAATTATATGTATGATATAGTGCCAGGAAGCCCCAAACCTACTGTTTGCAGATGGTGCCAAGCGAATCCCACCCTGGTCCTCACAGCAATTGACACTGTCGCAGCAGATCCTTTCTGCGAAGAGTGGTGTGGGGCGGAGGAGGGTAGCTCTACAAGGTGGAAAAAGTGAGAGGTTAAATAACGATGATGCTTTATTGTTATGTTTTGTTGGTTTCCCGGGGGTGGCGGTGAAATCAAGAGCTATCTGACCCTGCCCCCAAGAAGACACTGGCGCTAACAGGTACCAGCATCTCAGGAGGAGAAAAGCAACTTGGCCGTTCATCCCATGGACATCTCCTTACTACATGACAGACCCTGTTGGAGGTGCAGCGGGAGAGGCAGCATTCCCTTCCCTCACAGGCTCACCTTCTCACATGGAACAAACCAGCAGATAAACAAGAAGACTGTGGTAAATGTCACCTAGAGAAGTCAGTCAAATAAGACCAGGTTGATTTAGAGCAACCAGTCAAGGGGTCTCTCTGAGGGAATGTAAAGAGGATAATTGGGCGGGGGGATGGGGGACGTGTCCATGGAAGAACAGCACTCCAGGCTAAGGAGGAGCTGGTTCAAAGGCCCTGAGCAAGAATGAGCCAGGTAGGTGCAAAAGAATAGAAAGGCCATAGGATCAAGGAGTAAAGAAAGGCACAGGGCAGAGGCCAGGCCACCCAGGGCTTTGCACAGAGGCAGAAGGACCGGCTGCATAAGGGCAAACAGGAGACCACCTGTATACAATCTGTCGCCTTCAAACCAAATGGTGGAAAGTTCCCTTCGAAATACATACAGCTGCTGTGGCAGTGGTTCTCCACCTTCCTCATGCCGCCACCCTTTAATACACTTCCTCATGTTGTGGTGACCCCCAACCATAAAATTATTTTCATTGCTACTTCATAACTGTAATTTTGCTACTGTTATGAATCGTAATGTAAGTATCTGATATGCAGGATGTATTTTCATTGTTCGCGACCCACAGGTTGAGAACCGCTGGTTTAGTGGATTTTTAAAATAGACTTTATTTTTTAGAGCCATTTCAGATTCATAGCAACACTGAGCAGAAAGCACAGAGATTTCTCATAGTTCCCCTGGCCCCATACATGCACAGCCCCCTCCATTATCAACATCCCCCACAGAGTAGTATATTTGTTATGACTGAGGAACCTACATGGACACAGCATTGTTACCCAGTATCACATAGTTTACTGGACATTAGGGCTCACTCTTGGTGTGTACATTCTACAAGGTTTGGCAAATTTATAATGATGGGTACCTATCATTATGGCATCATACAGAGCAGTTTCACTGTCCTAAAAATCCTACGTGCTCTTGTCTATTCATCGCTCCCTCTCCTCTTTTAATGGATTTTAAGTAACTAAACTCTGGCTTGTGGGTGGAAGTAAACATATGCTGCCAAAGTCCAGGTCTATACAGTTCCTAGAACCACAATATGAATATCTTAAGAGCACAGCCTGAGATCAACACACACACACACACACACACACACTCACACACACACACTCCCACACACACACATATACACACACACTCACTCACACTCACACACACATACACACACACACTCACTCACACATACACACTCACACACACACACACTCACTCACACACACACTCACACACACTCACTCACACACACACTCACACACACACATACACACACACATACACACACTCACTCACACACACATACACACACTCACACACACACACACAAACACAGTTGATCTATGTATCTTTTAACCACCTTACAAATTTTGTTAAAATTCATGTTTAACAGTCCCAGGATAGCTACCTATCTGCAGCCAGAAACTGATTTTCTATTGAGATATCACTTTCACCAAAAATATTCAACTGCTGGCAGAGACTCAAGAATGAATGTGTCACTCTTAGGAATATACCCATGGGAAACGTCCACACAGAAACCTGTATGAAAATGTTCACTGCAGCATAATTCCTAATAGCCAAGGAGCGGGAACAATCCAAGTGTGCACCAACTGATGAGTGGGTAAACAAAATGTGGTGCATCTTATAAATGAAAACTATTTGGCAATAAAAAGGAATGAAGCAGCAATACATGCTTCAGTGTAGATGAACCCTGACAACATTATGCTAAATGAAAGAAGCCAGTTTCAAAAGACCACATTTAAGTGAAAGGTGCAGAATAGGTAAATCCACAGAGACAGAAAGTAGATCAGTGGTTGTCAGGGGCTGGGGGTAGCGGGAAACGGAGTGAAAGTTAATGGGTTTCTTTTTTTGGGGGGGATGCATATGTTCTAAAACTAGTGGTGGGTTTTACACAACTCTGTAAAACCACCGTATTATCCTCTTTAAAAGGGTGGGTTTTATGGTATGCGATTATATCTCAATAAAACTGTTATAAAAATAAAAGACCAGAAGTGTACCTGAAATGCAGTGTGGAGATGAAATACACGTCTACTGATCAAAAATGCCATGTTCCAGTAAGGCCCACCATAGAGGTAAGCAGCTTAATTTCATATTTCACACCCTGTACAACACTCTCAGTGGGACGTGTCTAACCCTCTGGAAGGACCACCCGCCCTTGGAGGGTGTTTTTCTTGTTTCACATGAAACGTTACTCCAGCTATTGACTCCCCTCTCTCTCGACTTCACTCCCATCTCCACTCACCTGACCCTGCTCCCAGCCACTGTCATGTTTCCCCTGGATTACAGCAATCTCTTCCTTACCCCACCCCCGAATTTCCACATCAGTCTTCCTAAAATTCTACTCTCCTACTTTAAACCCTTCAGAGGTCCCCATAATTGAGACATTTCTACAGCACTGAGATTCTATTAGGGAAAAATAATGTATATTCAGTCAGGTTAGTAAACCAGTGGTTCTCAACCTGTGGGTCACGACCCCTTTGGCGGTAGAACGACCCTTTCACAGGGGTCGCCTAAGACCATCCTGCATATCAGATATTTACGTTACGATTCATAACAGCAGCAACATTAAAGTTATGAAGTAGCAACGAAAATAATTTTATGGTTGGGTCACAACATGAGGAACTGTATTTAAAGGGCCAGAAGGTTGAGAACCACTATTAAACGAACCAAAGGGGTCATGTGGCCCTTAATATTGAAGGTGCTTACAAATGCAGCCTCCAGGCACCTTAAACGGCATCTGTCCCTGCCTCCAGTGACTGCGGGAGTGTTAACACCCACCAAAGATCTCACTGGGTTTTGCTTTGTACCTGCCAACTTGAGCTGCTCTATCATAAGAATCGATATAATTACCTATTTAGGAAGTTGAGTTAAATTAGTTCAGAGGGCATGAGTGGGGGGTAGGGGGTGGAAGGGATATGGGGTAACGTGGGGATAAGGACACACATATAATAACTTAATCAATAAAAAAATAAAGTAAATTTGTTCAGAGCAGCGATTTCAAATGGTGTGCCACACGAATTTTCAAAACATGCAATACGGGACTATTTAGTCAGGGGCACTGATCTCTTTTCCTTTGGATTGTCACATTAAAAACTGACAATAGCACAACTCACCAATGTTTCGTTTTATATTGAGGTGCTCAGGTTGGAATAAAGTGGTATAAAAAGCAAAAAAAAAAAAGAAAGAAAGAAAGAAAGAAAAAGACAATAGCTGTCTGGTATGAATGAGTCAAAAACATATCTTTTTTTTGTCAGATCAGCAAAAAACCACAATATTTTTGGTGTGCCACAGAATGCTAGTAATGTGTGCCAGGAGAAGGAAAACTTGAAAATCAAGCTTTAGAGAAATGCCTGCTCAAGTAAGAACTGGACTAACAAAGAGATTTCTCAAGGAGACACATCCCCAAGGGCCAAGGCTTTTCGGATACCTACACACACAGCCATATATAGAAACAAGCCCAGAGCGTCCAACTGGGAGAAGCTGAAGTCAAAGTAGCTCATAAAACAGCAACATTTTGTTCCTTAGGTAGGAAGCACAAGCCAAATGAACAAGCAGATAGCAGCTCTTGGGCCACAACTTAAGTCTGTGGATAATTATAATTATTTATGACATGGTATTAGTTACATTAATAATGCTGTCAGCTCACCGATTTTATTCAATTACATGGCTAAATGTGACTTTCATCCAGTCATATTCAAAATGTGTGCCCTTGCCTGGCTGCTGTGGCTCAATGGTTGAACGTTGGCCCATGAACAAAGAGGTCGCTGGTTCGAGTCCCACTCAGGGCACATGCCAGGTTGCGGGCTTGATCCCCAGTATGGGGTGTGCAGGAGGCAGCTGATTGATTCTCTCTCATCATTGATGCTTCTATCTCTCTCTCCCTCTCCCTTCCTCTCTGAAATCAATAAACATATATTTAAAAAATGTTTTTAAAGAAAAAAGGGGGGGTGTGGTAGAATGCAAATTTGTGCTTACTAGTCCAAAGATTCTTTTTGTATACATTCTCATGTTGTGTCATGTTTAAAAAGGAGCCATTTTTTAAAGTGTCACAGACACTCATGATTTATATTAATTTTACATATATGTACCATGCATAACTTCAGAAAAGAATAAAGTATGTAACGTATGAAATGTGACCATGAGGAGAACAATGCAGAGTCAGAGGGCCAGAAACAGAGGCCAGGGGTCCTTGACCACAGACAAGCTGGAAGAGGGCTGCCATTTCTGTGACTGGAGGCTGTCCCACCTGCTCCTGGGAGGGAATCCCTGCCGAGGCAGCAAAGCTCGGGGGCAGGGAGCAAGGATTCTGAAACCCAGCATCACACTCAGCACCTGTGGGACTCCTGGCACAATACCCTGTGCCTCAGTTTCCTCATCTGTCAGTAGGGAAAACAACAGCACTAACCTCAGAGGGTCTTTGAGAGCTCTGAAGGAGTTAGTGCTTATAAAAAGCTTAGAAACAACACCTGGCATACAGTATGCACTATCCATGTGTTAGCTGGCTAAAACAGAGACCCGACCAGGGGTTCTCGAGTGTACTAGTACTAGTTAAGTCTTACAAAATGACTCTGGCTCTCAACCCCTTGTTCCAAACTCTGAGAAAGCGTGTGCATGTCCACCCCTGTGTGTGTTGGGAGGAAGCAGGGAAAACAAGCTTTTCTTCATATAGCTCTAAAATGGTCCCTTCATGTCTGTACACAAGAGACAGTGAGCAACTGCAAGACCAGGGAGACTCCCATAAGACATTACACGATAGTAGTTCACTGTGCCCCTGAGTAAATTCCAAAGCCTAAGTTTCTAGAGTCTCTTTGGGAAGAACCACGGCAATGGGCTCACAGAAGCACCTCTAATGACAGGGAAACAGCTGCTCCAGAAACCGCCCCTTATGCCCATCTCCCCAGCCCCGCTTCCAATAGGCTGAGGAGCGGCAGTTCCAAAATTGGTGGGACAAGTTCTCTAACGTCAGGAAGTGACAAAAGTACGGCCACATACCAAGTGAACTGATGCGTTGAAAAGCGA